GCCAGGGCAGGAAAGTCCATGAGACTCTTTTCTCTAGTTAACCACCAAAGAAGCCACGTGTGGAGCTGTGGCTCAAGTGGTAGAGCGCCGAGCTTGGGCAAAAACGCCATCCCAGCGCTCCTCCCACTGTGTGCTTCAGAGCTCCGTGGAGTGCGCATTTAGCCCGGGAGAGAGCTTGGGAGAATACCAGCTCATGCCAGCCCGAGGGAGGAGCCCAGGTGCCGTTCGTAGGCACCGGCCACTGCGGACATCCCCTCCTTGGGCTGTGGTTACCGTGAAGTGACATGGTTTCCTAAGCATACCAGTACATTTAGCCAGGTGCATGGGCTTGGGGAGGATGTCCCGGTGGTTTGGGTCAGGTAAGACAGCCATGCTCTTTGTGCAGAACCCTGTCTCTGGGTGCGGGAGTCCACTGAGGGGGGGGGGACTGTACTCTGTGTGTCGCTGCTACTACAGCTGAGCACACATCGGGTGCATCCCGGCTCTGGACGAGGCTGCTACCAAGCCTGCAGGCCGGGCAGTGCCCAGCCGCCCGTCTGAAGCAGGCCGGGGTGCTGGCTCATCAGCCGTTCCTAGACAGGCCTGGTGTTTCTCCATATGAGCATGTGGGAAGTTCCCCAAGTTGCTTCTGTGTTTCCTGTTTGGGCCTCAGAGCCTGGAATTTCATAGGTTAGAGGGGAGCAGCAGGAGCCGCAGGAATGAGCTCAGAGCCAGGCTTACGAGCGAGCCCCACATTTCCATACCGGTTGGCTTGTCCTTTGGTTCAGTTCTCTCTGGCCTCGGCTCCTCCCTCTTCCCAGGACCTTCCTGTGGCTGCAAGCTAGCTTCAAGTCAAACCAAGCTCAGACTACACAGCCAGATCGCAGGGCTGCTCCCAGGGAGTCTGACAGGTGCCGGGAGGACATGTCATTGTTGACAGCGGCCGGGCGCCGGTGGCTCACACCCGTCACCCTAGCTGCTCCGGAGGCTGAGATCTAAGCATTGAGGTTCAAAGCCAGCCAGGCAGGAAAGCCTGAGGCTCATCTCCAGTTAGCCAGCAAAAAGCAAAAAGGAGAGCCGTGGCCCAAGTGGTAGAGCGCCTTGAGCAAAAGACCCGTGGGACAGAGTCCAGGCCTGTCCTCCCTCGTCCCCCCCTAACTCCAGCCCCGGGTCATCGGCAGAACTGAAAAGGTCAGAAGGGACCGGAAAGATGGCTGCCTGGCTCAGAGCCAGTGCTCACCGCGGCCGTCCCCGCGCGGCGGGACGCACGGACGGCGGCGATGGCCCAGGAAACCCAGGAGCGAAGCGCAGGGGAGCTGGCGCTGGCGCGCTCCCGCCGCGCGCTCCCGCCGCGCGCTCCCGCCGCGCGCAGCACCACCCCTGTCCCCCGGGTTTCGGACCCTGGCTGTTCCCATCGCCACCTTCTGGCCCCTGGCGGCAGGACACCCGCACGTCCCACCGTGCCCCATCTCCCCTTCCCGCACCCAGAGAGCGCCTTGGAAGCCAGAGGGGGCTGGGGAGCCCGTGCGGGGGTCTCCCCCGGCCGGCCTGCCGGGTTCTCGTGTTCTCCTCCGTGGGGTCGCATCGCCACGCAACGTCATCCCATGCCTCCGTGGCAGGGAGCAGATCTCCAATTCAACCCTGGGCCAGTTCCTCTCCCAAGATCCCCGTGATCGCTGAGAAAGAAGCAGCCACATCACCTTGCCAAGATGGGCGAGCTGGCCTCCAGCCCCGCCCCGGCGGCCCCGCCC